ATGTCGTAACCATGTACCGAAATACGTCAGCGTCGTTTGTTTGCGTCAGTCAATGTTCGCGTTGTAATATTGTATTTTTTTTATCATAATGTAGGTCGTCGGAGAGACGGAGTGGCGGACGGACGTTGGAGGCAGACGGCATCCGTTGTTGAGAAGAGTTGAAGGCGGGGAGCAGACAGGAGCAGTAACAGAAACAGAAAAAAGAGACAGACGATCTTAGTAGATGAGCCTTCTTCTTTCGTAGCCTAGGACACTTGTTGCAACACTATCCGCGATATCCCGCTTAATTTTCATCGTTACCCTACTTCTTAAAAAAAATGTTCCTTGAAGTAAGAAATAGTTGGCATGCTTACGAGGAAAAGAAAGATATTTTATAGCTATTAGTTAAGTTGCTTATGTACAACCCCTAAGTCCTGAAAGTTCTAAGATCACGCACATTGAGCGATTTTCTTTATTAAAAGAAATTAAAATATCTAAAATAATTAAAATAGCATATTTTTATTTTATTATTACTTCATTATTTTTAACAATTTAAAATATTTAAGAACTTCCCGCACAATGTGATTGAATTTTCATGTCTTGGGGAGGAACATCTCGCAATTAAATGTATGAAAGATTTTAAAGCCAGATACCACTAAAACGAGATGATTTATGCATTATTATATTCAACTCAGCGACAGGAAAGTGTGTATAACCGCTTGAGAAATATATTTACACGGCCGCACCTCGCGTCAACACGCACATGGATAATTGAGATACGCAAAATGATGTATCGTGAGAAGAGATAAGTTATATAGAGAGCAGAGACAAAGAACAAAAGCGGAAAAATCGTTCTATGTTACAGGCTTGCACTCAAACTTGACAGAATCGTTGAATCTAAGATGTATAAATAGATATTTTTATCAGATGCAACTGGAAAAACTCATTTATAAAGCTGTAATTTTGAGTGTAATCCTTGTCTGCGTGTATCGGTGTGATTCAGGTATCGCAAATGTGTCACGATTAGCATACATTTTGTTAGCACATAAATATTTACGGAGAGACTTACCCTCTAGATCCCTTTCTATCCTGGAAGCTCTAATATTATTCGACAAAACTTCATCTGTAAGAAAAGAAAAAAAAAAAAACATTTTTAATACATATGTCTTTAAGCAATTTATTTAATATTAATGCCTAATTTGTGCATAAGTAAGATACAAGGTCGCTTTGATGCATTCGACAGAGGAAGCGTGGGTGGTGAAAGGAAATTATTGAAGGATGTTATAATAGTAGAAGCGCGCTTCATTTGGTCATCGTCATAGTTCCTCGCGAAATAATTGCTATGCGTCATACGGATGTCATAATATTCGTACATATTTTTTTATACTGCAGTAATTTCCCTTTTGTTGTTTATAAAGAGAAAAAAAGAACGTGGAACCTGGAAGTTTCAAGTATAACACTCATAAAATTTTTCTGGCTATCTCAACAACTAAATTGCGCATTTATTCAAGATTTAGGAAAAAAACGAGAAGAAGTGGATAAGAAAAAAAGAGGGAATGCAAATGTCTTCGTGTCTAGAAAGGTGCGTGTCTATAGGAATGGGTAGAGAGAGAGAGAGAGAGAGAGAGAGAGAGAGAGAGAGAGAGAG